TGGAGAGGGACAGACATGAATCATCGAAACAATAAAGAAACAAAATAACGGGAAATAACCAGGTCTTCGATGACGAATAAAAAGATAACAAAATCAGTGACGAATAATCGACATGTACGAAGATAAAGAACGAGAAGGAAAGAGTTAATTGCAAAGTTAACTATAAGAAATTCTAGCTAATCGCGATGCCGATGTCTTAAAATATAACTTAACAGGGATTTATTTTGCGGAAGTTAAAATCGCTTTGTACAGTCGGAAGAAAATGAAAGATATAAGAAGAAGGGAAAGGGAAAACGGACAGAGACAGAGAGCTATATAGATAGACAGATAGATAGGGCCAAGAAAAGGTTCAATGTCTGACGTGGGAGAGACGGCGAAGAAAGGAAAGGAAAAAATAACATTTGATAAATTATCCATCACGACGGAGACTATACATAGAAATTCAGAACTGTATTTTGAAACTTCGTCCTAGCTTTCGGTAACTTTGGGAGTGAAATATTCATAGATTTTAGGGCGTCTTCGGAAATAGTCCAACTGAAATAAAATCCTACGTTTTGTTATTCTCTTTTGGCATACTGGAATAAAAAGGAATTCAAAAGACTACTATGTTGCATAAGTACAGATCGCTTAACTTAAAGCAAATCAACCACGGAACCAACCGAAAACTAATGAATAAGGAAAATAAATAGAGGGATAACTTAATGACCAAATAAAACATTATATCAGAAAATTCTGGAATTTATATGCAAGTGCAAGACATATATAAAACAAAGATACATCAGAGAGACAGACATGTGTGCAAAAACGATTTTAAGAACATCAATGATAACAAACAAAACAATTTACACGACAATTACAAGGGAACAAAATAACACACAGAGATAATCTTAACACATAGAGATACTCGTAGCAAAAGACAAACATACTTTGGGTAAAATTAATCAATCTCCATTTTATAAAAAAGACGATTCTGGTGAGGGAATGAAGGAACAAAAAAAAGAAGAAAAAAAATACAAAAAACAAAACAAAACAGGTAAACACGAATAAATAGAGGGAGAGAGATGATCGAAGAAAAAAAGATATTGAGATACAGAACATTTAGAATAACAACGAGAAATTTTGATGAACAGTTATGAACTGTTTGACTTTACCGTCCGGAGAGAAATATATATATCTTTAAAAATTCAAATCAAATTTCGAATGGCCATTGATAAGAAATATATATATATATTTTGCACTCTCTCTCTCGAAATCTCTGACACAAGTCTGACAGAAACAAAATTCAAAGGTTACCTCATCACGATCTGCATATAACATGCCTTCGGATTTCAAGGGATAGTGCACTAAAATCAATATCTACTTCTATGAAAATCTTCACGTAAATAAACAAATATCTTTTTCTTTCTTTTTTTTTTCTCTCTCTATTTTTGGCACATTGACCTAGACATAATTCCTCTATTCACCCCCATGCATTACCCTGCGATCAAAAAAGGTCCATGTATCAAATCTATACCTTTATTATTCCTATCTTTAATCAAAATTGCGTCATAGGTCAAGCTTTATCGAGGTATTACTTATATCTCATATTTTTTTTTTATATTACGTTATATTATGGTGCAATTTCCTAAGTTAGCGCTTGAATGTAATCTTACATAATTTTACAGACTCTTATATAATGTCTTTTTTTCTATGCTATCGTATGGATCGTTATAATTTGTTACGTTACGTTACATTCTGCTATTACATCTCACGTGAAGTTGATTTTCTTTGTTACACTTTATCGATTTACACCATATAATATGCTCTATTTGGTTTTATGCCAAGCTACATCGTGTCACACTGTACTAGGCTACATAAAGTCAACTTGAATACGAGAATAACAGACAACAGACAGACTTCACTCATTATTCCAAGAACTGTTCAACTAATCGATTAAAACATGGATAGGACCATAAACTGAATGGAAGCACATTAAATACACAGATTTGTATACTGGGGGAAATACCGTCTAAATCTACATTCTTATCAGTAATACGTTTTTTTTTTTAGTGCAGCTGTGTGTCATGCGTAGAGGAGGCTACATTAATGAGTGCCTTTGTCTGTCATGCACGATTGGGTCACTCTTTTCTCAAATTGTCATGCAAACACTTATAAACACCACTACGAATAATTACCTTTGGTCGATACACTTCCAAACTGCTACACAAACATAATCAAATAATATGCCAAATGCAATGCAATAATTTTGCAAAACAGTGAGTGAAGAGATAGTAAAATGGAGATAACGAAAAGATAACGATGTAGAATGCATGGCAAGCTGGATCCAGGTCGCGATAAATCCGCATGCTTCGAGAGAGAAGGAGCTTGAGATGACCCGAAATGACCTTGCAACAGGTCAGGGCATGAAGTATTGACCGACTGGCACGCATATATTCACTAGCGTGCACACGCATATATAGGCATACATACACACGTGCTTATTTACATACGCATATACACACATATACTGAGGTCAACTATAGGCATATATACACTCGTGTATATGCACACACACAGAGACACACCCATGCAGATACACACTCACATCCATTGACATACATCCACCTGGGCGTACACATATAGACACAACCACACACACACACACACACACACACACGCACACACACACACACATACACACACACACACACACACACGCACACACACACACACATACACACACACACACACACACACACACCCACACACACACACACCCACACACACATACACACACCCCCACACACCCACACAAAACTTGAACTTTGACGCATTACATTATATGTAATACATATTGCAATGTCTAATTATTAACATAAAAAAAATCACCGACTTAACGATAGTCATTAACGATTCAAGTCTCTTTCACTATGAAAAAGTGAATATGTCCAGATTTATGCTTTTACACACGACAATAAATCAAGGAAAGGCTATTGTATTCACTTAATAAACTAGCTCATGATAAACAACATTTTATGTTTAGAAAATCTGGTATGAATGAACAGGTCACTGAAACGGATTTTTAAATTTTGAAATACATTCAATTTTGCGACTGATTTGTCATATTATATATATATTTTTTCAGACCAATGGTAGGTTAATACACATATGCAAACAGATATAAACTCTCTTTATCTTTCGCTCTCTCTCTCTCACACACACAAACACAAATACATGAATACACTCAAACAGCACGCACGCACACACACACACACACACACACACACACACACACACACACACACACACACACACACACACACACACACACACACACACACACAGGCCGCCGGCAGAGAAGCCAAAGAAAAAGGTGTGACGTCAGTGAGCAAGAGGTCAGCCGAGAGAGACTGTGAGCTGCAGAATCTTCAGCGAAGGAAAGTTCGCATGGTGGAACTGTAGACGGCAGAGCAGGTGCAGCGGTGTGAAGAAATTGAGATGGGGCCCAGGGGGATTGGAGGGGAGGGGAGGGGAGGGGAGGGGAATGGAGGGGAAGGCGGGGTAGGTGGGGTTTTAGTAGAAAGCTTTTTGGGGGTGTGAGGGTACGTGGGGGTATGGGGGTGGGTGGGGAGGTGATAGGACAGGACGTTGAGTATTATGATGCAGATGGAAGAAATGAAAAGGGAGGGGAGGGGGGGGGGAGGGGAGGGGAGGGAAGGGAGGGAGATAGAGAATGGGGGACGGGCCGGTGAGGCGAAAGTGTGTGAAAGGCAAGCACGAACGGGATACTTACGTAGTTTCCAGTCTTCAAGAAGTTTTCAAAATCCTTGTTCATGCCGTAGTGGTCCATGGCCATGAAGAGTGTGTTGACGGCGATACAGAGAGTGATGAACAATTCCACAAATGGATCAAAGATAATGGTCTCAACAAATTCTGCAAATCTGACCCAAACCCTACAACAGTCCCAGACACAGAAGAGGTCGATGCTTTTCATCAAGTATTCGTACACTTTTCGCTTGATCTTATCCTTAAGAGTCTCTTCCTCCTCGTCTGCAGGGAAATAATAGTAAGAAACTGTAAAAACGAGTTAGTAAAGACTCTTTGACCCGAGGAAGGTAGGACGGCACATACAGCTAGCTACAGAAAACGGACGGGGTGCGTCAACCTTCCACAGAAAATGGGTAGCAAAAAAAAAAAAAAAAAAATTATAGCATATACCTCACATTTATAACCAAATCGCCAACATATCAATTTCTTATTCGAACAGATGAAATAGCGGGAGTTTCTTTATTTTTTAATTCTTATTACCATTATAAAAGCATATATCTGTAATTATTTGTATGTATCTATGTTCAAAAAACAAAAAGCAAGTTACGGACCCCGTCACACACAAACACAGACAGACTACGAGAGGGGGACCCGGATTTGGCGAGAAGAGGAAAAATTAGTAAATGTTAAACACAGAAAAGAAATTATGTGCCTCCGCCTTCTTAGTTTGCTGCAGGGAGGAAGACGTTAACTCATTAAACATATATATACATAAACATTTTTTTTTAGATACATAAGCCTATTTTGTAGAGAGATATTTATTTCACATAGGCTTATTCTATATATTAACATTTCCTTTCAATTGGCCTATTTTCTGCGATTTCCTATCCCTAAGGGCTAACTTCAATTTTTTTTAAGATAAATATATATTTAAAATCTATGAAATATTTAAATTCAAGTCAATAGACATTTCAATTAAGCGACTAAATCCAAGATTGTACAATACAACAAGTAGAAAATTAATTCAAGTTACTTCATACCTATAGCACAAAGTAATAATATTTTGAATAAGGATAACCTACACTAATTCAATAAAATATACTTACCAAGTCATTTATCATTCATTGATATAGTACACCTAGCCTCTAAGATTCTACCTAAAAATAACAAAGATTGATAAACTATTCCTTATATATATACAATAAATTTACATTCCCTAAAAAATTTAAGTAAAATCAACTTAAAACTCTCATAACCTGTCACCTAAAATACCCTAAAATATACCGAAAATAAAACCCTTACAATCAACCTTAAAAATCTCCCTTCCTTCCACCAGGGTAGCATGAAGAGATATGCAAATGAGATAAAGAAGGAATTATCCGATAACTTTTGATAGTAAACATTAGATTGAGAAGTAAATAGAAAATCATTGTGAAAGTTCATTCAGAGAGAGAAAAAAAAAACACAACATATATAATTTACATTGTAGTGAAGTCATTTTTAAAAAGTTTTTTTTTTTTTATAACTTTTATTTGATATTTTTGTTGTTGCAAGAAGGAAGGATACGAAACTACAGGTACTTTCTTTAAAGATTTGATAAAAATTATTGTTATGGGAAGTATAGTACTAATATCTTTGATTATTATAACTTAAGGGTAATGTTAATAATAATAATAATAATAATAATAATAATAATAATAATAATAATAATAATAATGATAAAATAATAATAGTGATAATAATAATAATAATGATAATAATGATGATAATGAAATAAAATAATGATAAATTAAAATCATATAATAATAATAATAAAAATTGTTAGTATAACACCAATAACAACAATAATAATGATAATAATGAAATTATTGAAATTACTGTAATAATAATAATAAGATAATAATGATAAGATGATAATTACAGTGGTGATAACAATGATAGCGATAACCGTAATGATAACAAAATAGTAAACAACAATGATGGTGCAAGAAAATAAATAAATAAATAAATAAATAAAAAATGAATAGATAATAGTTAGATAATGGTAATGATAATAATAATAATTAATAATAATAAGATAATAATCAATTAATATTGATAAGTGATAATAATAATTAATTAAACTATAATGTCGATAACAATAAATGTTAAATGTGATGATGCATTAATAATGAAAATAATAATAACAATAATGATAATGATAATAATAATAATAATAATAATAATAATAATAATAATAATAATAACAAAATGATGATGACGATGGTAATGATAATAATAATAAAAATGATAAAATAATAATAGTGATAATAATAATAATAATATAATAATAATAATAATATAATAATAATAATACTAATAATAATAATAATACTAATAATAATAATAATAATACTAATAATAATAATAATACTAATAATAATAATAATAATAATAATAATAATAATAATAATAATAATAATAATAATAATAATAATAATAATAATAATAATAACAAAATGATGATGACGATGGTAATAATAATAATAATAATACTAATAATAATAATAATAATAATAATAATGATAAAATAATAATAGTGATAATAATAATAATAATAACAAAATGATGATGACGATGGTAATGATAATAATAATAATAACAAAATGATGATGACGATGGTAATGATAATAATAATAATGATAATAATAATAATGATAATAGTAATAGACATTAATAATAATAATAATGATAATAATAATAATAATGATGATAATAATAATGATAATAATAAGAATATTGATAATAATAATAATAATAATAATAATAATAATAATAATAATAATAATAATAATAATAATAACAAAATGATGATGACGATGGTAATGATAATAATAATAATAATAACAAGTAGTGACGATGATGACGATGGCAATAATAATAATAATAATAACAAAATGATGATGACGATGGTAATGATAATAATAATAATGATAAAATAACAATAGTGATAATAGCAATAATGATAATAATTGAATAATTGAATAATTGATAAAAAGGAGAGAGAAGCTCGGAGATGCGCTAATGGGGAGGGTGAATTCAGTCCTTCGTTTTTTTTTCTTTTTTTTTTTAATGGTAGAGATAATGATGATAGGGGGTGATAATAGCCTTATTGACAATGATAATGACAATGTTATTATTATCGTGGTAATCATTATTTCGGTTGTATATTTTTATTACCATTGCAATTATATAAATGACAATAATCATCGTCATCATCATCCTCATCATAATAATAATAATTATAACAATAATAAAAAATGGCAACAAACAGCAATAACGACAACAACAACAACAATAATAATGAACTCTTTTACAGTCATTATTATTACCACATCATCATCATCATCATTTTTAACATTATTATTATCATTATCATTATTAGTTATTATTATCATTATCATTATTATCAATATCCTACCATTATTATTATCACTATTATCATTATCATAATTATCATCATATTAATATTATTACTGTAATCATCCATCATGATCATTATGATCATTATCATTATTATCATCATTATTATTATTATCAGTATCATTATTACTATTATCGTTACTGTTACTATTAATATCATTATTATCATATTTATCATTATTATTATTATCATTGTCATTATTCTTATTATTATCACTACTTTTATTTTCATTATCAATATTATTATTACTATTACTATTATCATTATTACAATTATTATTATTATTATTATCATTATTATTACCATCATAGTCATAATAATTATTATCATTATTACTATCAATATCATCTTATTAACATTATTATTATTCTACTATAATTTTTATTATCAGAATATCCATTACTATTAATGTAATTACAGTTATTAACATTATTGTTATTATTATTATTATCAACATTATCATTATTATTATCATCATCATTATTATTATTATCATCGTTATTAATATTATTTATTATTATTATCATTATTATTATCATAATAATGATAATAACAATAGTAATAATAATAATGATAATAATTATTATCATTATCATCATTATCGTTATTATTATTATTATTATTATTATTATTACTATTATTATTATTATTATCATTATCACTATTATTATCATTATCATTATTATTATCATTACTATTATTATTATTATTATCATTATTATTAACATATTTATTATGATATCATTATCGTTATCATTAACATCATTGCCATTATTCTCATTATCAATATTAGATAATCATAACAGATATAACTATTATCAATATCACAATTACAACTATCTTTTATCGTCATTTCGCGCTATTGATTAATGTCAATTTTCACTTCGATATCACCGATTACTGACATGTCTTGAATATCATCATTATAAATATAATAACTCCATTATTTCTCTTATTTATGTATATATATTTAAAAAAAGGGAGAGTATCCTTTGTAGTTAAAAAGGAAACGAAGCCGACCGAAACTAAAAAGAAAGTATCGTGATCTTATGATATTTGGTCAAATTAAAAGGAAAAAAATAAAACGTGAATCGAATCGATTGCTTAAAAATGTTCGTATTTTGATTAACACGAAGGACCGATGATATTTAGGTTTTTGGACTTTCTTATTCATTTCTTTTTGTTATTCACTATTTTTCTTCGAAGGGGGGAGGTTGGGGGGGATATAAAAGCTGTGCAAAGATTGAAATCCTGCATTGAAGAGAAAACATGCAAGCCTGTACCTAATGTGCATGTTTTAATTTGAATAGAAAACGGAAAAAGGAAAGAAAACGAAAAAAACGGAAAACGAAGTCGGAGAAACGCAAGAAAGAAAACGGGAAGAGAAGAGCATGAGAGTTTAATCTAAACCGCCATACAGTATCTAGCTCCATCGCTCATGTCTTATTTCAATGCGGTAGTCTGTTTAACCCACGTTAGGTATACGGCATGGTGATATGAAAATACGGAAATAAAAAGAGAGATGTAAACAATAGCAGAATGTGCAGCCTGTAGACGGTCTCCGGACTCCGGGTATTGTGCAGGAGAACTGGAGCCACGGACAGCTGGCCGTGTACCGGTCTCAAGGATCTGTCTGAGATCCCCCTCTTTACATAACATCAAGCCCTATGGGTTCTCTCTCTCTCGCCCTTCGACCTACCCCCCCTCTCTCGCTCGCTCTCGCTCTCTCTGTCTCTTTCTACTTCTCTAATTGCAGCCATGCACGCACTCAACCACGCATTCGCGCTTGCAAGCACCTCGCATTCTTGGAGAGTGAATTTCACCTTGATCTCTGGAGGACTTTGATTTCTCCTTGGACTAGCGCAGAGAGAGAGGAACGGGCGGCGGGCGCGGAGAGAGGGTGAGTGGGGAGGAGCGAGAGAGGGAGAGAGAGGGAGGGAGTGGGGTATGCTACACAATGTTACCTTCTTCTGCTGCAAGAGGCTGAGTTCACATACAAAAACACACAAATATACACCTGCGCGCTTGCTCCCGAACCCTGAGGGAATTCTGTTCGCATATGGAGTTGTGTATTCGTGTGATTCACCTGAATGTCAACGTTAGAAGTGTTTTTTTTCTTCAGTGATCGTGTTCATAATTTGCAGTTAAATAAGTAGCAGCATATGTTGTCTTATGAATCCTTTCAGCATTCCACTCAAAGGCAAAACTGTATGTTGTATCCGATGTGTTTTCGGTAGAATATCGTCAAAATGGCTTCGTCTTAAGTTTCTTTATCACTCTATCTCGTGTAACAGTCTGCGAAGCTCTCGAATTCCCACAGGCCGAAGGAGGCAGCGCGCGGACAAATGCATGTGAACGCAGCCTGAGATTAATCACACCCATGCTTTTGTGAGAACTACAGGCTCACGCAGGCTCAAACTTCAACAGAGACACTAAAGCGTCTTCATCATCAACACTAAAAAAGGATCTGCTTGGACAATTTCGAGTTCTGAATCCGACAATGGATGGCAAAAATAAAGGCTACATGGGATTGTATCTTCTTTACACGAACAACTGGACTACCCAGGCTACAGGCTACACAGGCTTGAACGGATCATGAACTAGAGGCTACACATTATGAGCGTCGGGAAAAGAGGGAGCAAGTTATCCCTTCTAGAACAACACGATGCGAAGAGAACTAAAAACGTGAGGTTATATCAAGTAATTTAAACATACAACATTACACTACAATATACATACATACATGCATGCATATGTCTATGTCTATGTACAGTATATGTGAGTATCTATCTATCTATCTATTCATATATGTCTATATATTGTATATGTATATATGTTATATATATGTATATATATATATATATATATATATATATATATATATATATATATATATATATATATATATATATATATATATAAGTGTGTGTGTGCGTGTGCCTGTCTACCTGTATATATATATATATATATATATATATATATATATATATATATATATATATATATATATATATATATATATATATATATCACACACACACACACACACACACACACACACACACACACACACACACACACATATATATATATATATATATATATATATATATATATATATATATATATATATATATATATATGGATTTATGCACGTATAATATATATATATATATATATATATATATATATATATATATATATATATATATATATATATATATATATATATATATGGATTTATACACATATAATATATATATAATATATATATATATATATATATATATATATATATATATATATATATATATATATATATATATATATATATATATATATATATATATATATATATATATGTATACATAAACACACACACACATCTCTCTCTCGCTCTCTCTCTCTCTATATATATACATATATACATACACAAATATACGTATCTATCTACATATGTGTGTGTATAAATTTACAGATCCGTGTATCTACCTAACTATCTATATGTGTATATACATCTATATATAATTATATATATAATCATATATATATTGTGTGTGTGTATGTGTGTATGTGTGTGTGTGTGTGTGTGTGTGTGTGTGTGTGTGTGTGTGTGTGTGTGTGTGTGTGTGTGTGTGTGTGTGTGTGTGTGTGTGTGTGTGTGTGTGTGTGTGTGTGTAGTATGTATGTCCATACATATTACGAAAGCTGAAGCGAAAGAGGCAGTTGTAAGAAAAAAAGATGTAGACAAAAGTTGTCGAAGGTGCAATGTTTATGTTTGTCGTCGTATCACAGCTCGGTTATTTTGGGTGTGTTGTAGGTACTGCAATTTTGTGCTCTGTACATGAATATTGTTTAAAATCTAAGGGTATATAGGGGATGATTTTTTTTTTCTCTTTTGTTTTTTTTAGAATATAAATTTAGATGCGTGAGGATGTTGTTGTTTTTGTATTTCGCCTGTTGTCTGAGGTGGTTGTGTTTCTGGGGTTTTATATCACCTTAATAATCAATTGCAATGAGGTGCGTTTTCGTGAGGCTGTCTTGCCAACTCGTTTAATATTTATTTCCCAAAGGCTTATTGAAGGATTAAAAGCAAGAGTACTCAAAGTACAAATACAAATCTTTAGGATATGTATATACAGAAATTCGTTTTTTAAAATAGGAAGCAATCACACCCTAGAGATATATTTAGAATCAAGGATGTTTCTTGAAAAACAAAAAACAAAAAACAATAACATATATATGTCAGTAACTCCTTTCTACGAGACTTTTGAGAAAATATTAGTCTTGTAAGTTGGCAGAACAGGGTGACCAGTATACAAAAGATTGCGAATCTGTTTCTCGGGCGTCAAGATGCCAAAAGCACCGAGTTCCGTCATAAAGCACTGCCCATTGTCGCTTTGCAAGGAGCTGTACTCTACTGCCAATGCTTTTGAAACCCTGATGATCAAGAGACTCAGTGGTGACGTAACGATGGCCGTCATGACGTCACAGTAGAAATGACGTCACGGCAATATGGCGGCAGCAGTCAACTGCACATCGTCGTGGCGTCACAATGTATTCGCATTCTTAAGGACAAAATAAACTAACCAAAAAAAATCTGCAGCCTATTTCTAAAGTGTAGCGACTAATTGGCTAATGAGCCCTAAAAAGAAGTGAATGAGAAATATAAGAAAAGAGAAGTACGCACCCTCTTCGTCTACGAAATGTTGAAGTGTAGGGGATAGGATGGGGGTACGATTAAAACAACGACTTTGGTTACTCAACAACGATAACAACAACAACAACAACATTGGTTACTAGACAAATGCAAATTTCTGTGAACTGGTGGCTGTAAATTTCCTATATTTTGACAAAATGACGTTAGGCGGAGTTTAAGATATATGACACTCAAAATGCCAACAGTCCTCAGACCAAAAAAAAAAAGTTATTATCAATTTTGTATACTCAAGATATTTATTATAGAAGCGCAACTGTACAAGATGGGTGATCAAACACTAGTTCATATCAAGACATCTTTTATAAACATGAACCTAGAATCACTTCCAAATAAGGTAACAAACCATGCAGACCGCTAACTAATTCTAAAACTTCACAATGTACACTGGAAATGAATTAAAATGACGTCACAGCTACCGAGACAGGTGCGTTCCCAGAAGAGGAAGGCGTTTTTGTAACTTTTCGAAGTTAAGGGGAAACGCGCGTAAAACTTTTTGTTTCGTCAATTCACCTTTAATATCTGGGAGCATCAAATTTAAAAAGAATTGTGGACTTATTGTGATTCTTATCTATCAGATCATTACTATGTAACTCTAGGCACCAAATACAGGATTTTATCAGCTGTCTTTTTTTTTCTCTGAACTGTATAAGGTTCATTAAACATACCAAAATCGATATTTTTCTGCATATATAAAAATGTCCAACAACGTTCAGCTTATGAAATTTACTTTTTTTTTTTTTTTTTTACGAAACCAATCGTAAACATTTTCCTTAAAAACTGGAAGGCCAGAAGCGAATGCGGATTCAGTCAGCGCGTCTGCAAAAACGCTTCCATTTGCTCGGAGCGCCTGCTGGTAGTTTTGTCGTGACGTCATCATGCCTACATCTACCATTGATACATCTTTGCTGTTATCAACACTCAGGAGGAACTATCAAACGTTTACTTAGAGAAAAAGGATTTAAAAAACGAGAAATGAGAAGAAAACCGCAATGCACTAGCTACAGCTGGGGACATTGAGATATTTGAACAAAAGACCAAAATAAATGACTGTACACGAGCTAGCTTTTGTTTTTAGCGGGCGATAAGAAAACAAAACAGAGACTTAGAAAAAAAGCAGCGGAAACTCACCTGCATGTTCACTGGCTTGGCTCTGTCTTCCCGCCTGTGCCTCAGCTTGCTCAATGATCTCATTGAGAACCATCACATCTGTCGAGATGAAAAGTGAGAGGTAGAAATATAGACAAATAGATAGGTTGAAGGAGAGAGAGAGAGAGAGAGAGAGAGAGAGAGAGAGAGAGAGAGAGAGAGAGAGAGAGAGAGAGAGAGAGAGAGAGAGAGAGAGAGAGAGAGAGAGAGAGAGAGAGAGATTGAAGGAGAGAGAGAGAGAGAGAAAGAGAGAGAGAGAAAGAGAGAGAGAGAGAGAGAGAGAAAGAGAGAGAGAGAGAGAGAGATAAATAGATAGATAGATAGATAGATAGAGAGAGAGAGAGATAAATAGATAGATAGATAGAGATAGATAGATAGATAGATAGATAGAGAGAGAGAGAGAGAGATAAATAGATAGATAGATAGATAGAGATAGATAGATAGATAGATAGATAGAGAGAGAGAGAGAACTCGTCACAATGAATTTTCATTCTTGGATATACATTTTTTTCTCGGACTAAAAACTTACATGATACTGAAAGGAAATATATTGAAGAGTTACAAAAAAAAGAAGAAAAAAAACTCGATTGGGTTGACATTGTTAATAATAGTATGACCATGTTGCTTGATGGGACTTTAGATCTAATGGTCATACTGTCGTCCATTTCACGAACTTTGGCGCAAAAAAAAGAGAAAAAAAAAATTGGTTTCAGGACAATATCAGTTGATGGATCAACTTAATTAGGTTCATATTTAGTAGTAAAGAAAATTACAAGAAAAGCTAAATCGGCTTCGAATTTTGGTTGCAAAACTCTTTTTTTTTTGATGAGCTATGTCCTTTTTTTTAATGAAATGACAGAGTGGAATAGGTCATACTTATTTAGCTAGTGGACGAATTACCATAGTTTTGAAGATGGGGAGAAGGAGGTCGAGGATGAGGAAAAAGGAAACAGAGAAAGAGGAAAAAGGAAACAAAGGAAGAGGAAAAGGAGACAAAATGAAGAGGAAAAGGAAAAGGAAACAGAGGAAGAGGAAAAGGAAACAAAGGAAAAGGAAACAAAGGAAAAGGAAAAGGAAACAGAATGAAGAGGAAAAGGAAAAGGAAACAGAGGAAGAGGAAAAGGAAATGGAAACAGAGGAAAAGGTAAAGGAAACAGAGGATGAGAAAAAAAGGAAACAGAGGAAGAGAAAAAAGGAAACGGAGGAAGAGGAAAAGGAAACAGGGGAAGAGAAAAAGGAAACAGAGGAAAAGGAAAAGGAAACAGAGGAAGAGAAAAAGGAAACAGAGGAAGAGAAAAAAGGAAATGGAGGAAGAGAAAAAGGAAACGGAGGATGAGGACGAAGCAACGGCAAGGATCAGGACCCACCTCGCATGTCGAGGACGGCGTGTTTCTGGATGGGGTCGATGAACGGGTTGGCGTCCGGGTTCTTCAACTTGAACTGCAACACCTCCTCCTGTTCCATTGACGTGTCCTGCAACGGCAGCGTGAGGGTTCAGTCATCCCTAGCAGGGTAGCGGTCAGGGCAGGTCGAGTCAGGTCAGGTCAGGTCAAAGTTAACTCAGTCCTGGTCAGTCTTCATGATGTTCTATACGTGCCTCTTTTTTTTATTTTTATTATTATTTTTTTAAAGGAAAAAATCGTAATCATCAGTAAATTATCTTTGATGAATAATGGTATAGCAAACTCTGCACTTTGCAAAATTTTCCTTCTGAACATTCAGTATGAACAATTTGCATCAAACCTACGAATTTAAGAAGTTGAACTGTAAAGATATGTTTGTGTCCAGTGAGCCAAGTTATCGAAGTCCAGTCATTATCTTAAGGTAATTGTGAGTAATACTAGCATACACCAGGCATTGGTAACAATATACAGACTATATGGAAGACGTTTTTTTTCCAAGTGGCAAAGTGCAAACAAGACTG